GGGGGGGGGGGGGGGGGGGGGGGGGGGGGGGGGGGTAAGCACTTAAAGCTTCAACCGCTGAGTTGCTTGTCTTCACAGATTCAGTCACAGACGTGACAGGTCACAGGAGATTTAATAGGTTAATTGAGTGGAAAATGAAGATATTTCCTTCACATTTTCAATGCTTAAGACGACGAGTTCCCTTTAAAAATACGATCCAAAATCTCTCTAGCCTTTCCTTCTGCAATTCCGAAACCTGTTTTTCAAGACAAATCTCAAGAAAACCAATAAGACTTAGAATATTAATTACTTGCCACTTGTACCACTAGGCTTTTAAGAGCGTATCACATTTCGATCAAAGAAGACGTGTCTCGTTTATCAGTAACTGCAGGTAAAACTTACGCGCATTGTATGCAGTAATATTGTCCAGCGCCAGGAAGATCCATATCTACCTCTTGTGATTTCAGTTTGGTAGCGTTCTGTGGCTGCATGTCCACGTGGATTTGATCCAAGTCTTTTGTTCGACGTTTGGTACGGTATTTCTTTTTCAAGTGTTTATCATTTTTATGCATTCGTTTCCTTCGCAATCGGCCCATGTTTAGAACTGATTTTCTCGCAGATATTAGCCCCAACCAGCAAATACGAGAATAAGTTTCCAAGAGTAATGTTTCCAAGATGGCCGCTAGATGTGAATCGTCCAGGCGCTCCTTGCGTAAGGTGCGGAAGACTGGAGAACGGGGTGACCACTGGCTACCCTGGGAGGGAGTGGGAGGGTATCCAGGAAAGATCAACGAGTAATAAAAATTCCAAAAAAATCACAATAAAAACTTCTCGAATATACGTTTTAAGTTAGAAACAATATTCATTTTTATTTACTTTCAAGCCATCTTTTTTCTACATTTTAATTCAATATCTTTAAGCGAATTTAAACGAGTTCTATTTTGTCAGTAGGGTGGGGATAAATTATTGAGAGCGTCAAAACGAGGAAAAAGTTGTTTTCTTTAGCCTCGAATTTTGAACGAAAGAAGATGCAATGCCAAAGTTGTCACGAGATTCTACGGTTCAAAGGGAGTTTCCCTAATGGGGTACAAAGGAAAAGATTAAATGGTGTTTTGTCTGTCGTCTCGTAAATAAAATCTCGACTGACATGGACGAGGCGCTTCCTGGGTTCGAAAACCGATCAGACGTCCAGCAGGAAACCTTGAATTTGTCAACAAACTCCGCTCAAAAGAAAGACGTTTTTCGCTCAGACGAACCTGTCACGAATCGAAGGTCGGGCCATTTGACATCTCCAGGAACCAAAAGATATGGCATGACTAATTTTGACGATATAAATGTTCAACAGGACTTGTTAGATGAATTCGACCCCCTGTCATCACATTCGAATACGACTGAAAATGACTTCAATGACGGAGACCCATCGGGGAAGAAGAAGACATCTGTCCAAAGATTGGACACAAAGAAGAACATGGAACCCCATCGGTCATCTGGGCTTATCTTAGGTAATATTCAAGAAACAAGCTTGGCAGTTGCGCCGACAAATTCTGGGGATGAAAGGATTTTGAGTGGCTGTCAGCAAACTGAATACAGTGAAGAGGTTTTTGAAAATGGTGGAAAGTTGGAAAGAGGTGAGGTTGATGAAGATATTGATGGTGAAGCTGAGGTTGTGGATGAAGGTAAGAATTCCCATATTCATCAAAGTAGCTTTCACAAGTTTTCAGCTTGTCTGCTTCTATAACCTTTAATAGTTGGGTTGATTTAGCTTGCACTTTTAACTAGTGATTAGATCACCTCCCTGATATTTGATATNCAGACGTCCAGCAGGAAACCTTGAATTTGTCAACAAACTCCGCTCAAAAGAAAGACGTTTTTCGCCCAGACGAACCTGTCACGAATCGAAGGTCGGGCCATTTGACATCTCCAGGAACCAAAAGATATGGCATGACTAATTTTGACGATATAAATGTTCAACAGGACTTGTTAGATGAATTCGACCCCCTGTCATCACATTCGAATACGACTGAAAATGACTTCAATGACGGAGACCCATCGGGGAAGAAGAAGACATCTGTCCAAAGATTGGACACAAAGAAGAACATGGAACCCCATCGGTCATCTGGGCTTATCTTAGGTAATATTCAAGAAACAAGCTTGGCAGTTGCGCCGACAAATTCTGGGGATGAAAGGATTTTGAGTGGCTGTCAGCAAACTGAATACAGTGAAGAGGTTTTTGAAAATGGTGGAAAGTTGGAAAGAGGTGAGGTTGATGAAGATATTGATGGTGAAGCTGAGGTTGTGGATGAAGGTAAGAATTCCCATATTCATCAAAGTAGCTTTCACAAGTTTTCAGCTTGTCTGCTTCTATAACCTTTAATAGTTGGGTTGATTTAGCTTGCACTTTTAACTAGTGATTAGATCACCTCCCTGATATTTGATATCGGTGATATTTGTTCAGATTAAAGTACTTTTAATTCATGTGGAATGTTGTAATACTGATTTGACATCGATAAGATATTGATTAACTACAGTCAGTTAAACTGTCTTTATTCAAAGCATGGAAAGAACAGCTATCCAGTTAAGGCAAATAAAGCTTTGGAGCAAATTCCAGTCATATGTTTCTGTGCTCATTACAGTACATTTATACATTCCAAAAAATCAAGTTTTGTCACCATAGCCTTTAGTTTTTGTGGTATAAAAGGTGTTTTATGGGGATGGTCAACTTCTGAAAAACTGCCGTGTTTGCCATGATGTGTATGTGTTTTTTTTTCTTTGACCTAGATGGCATGTTGTCAAACTCAAATCCCACACTTTGGTACATGTAAAATAAACATGTCAAAATTCTAGAGCTACTGGCCATTTTCACCGAATAGATTTATAATTGGTCTAATTAACATGTCATTTTGGGCGACAACAAGCATCATATTTCCAGTTGTGTCTGATACTCTTTCCAAGTTTCATTTCATTTAATAGCCTGTAAATACAGCTCAATACTCAGTCCTTGCCACCAGGGGCATATTGTGGGGAAATGTTTTGCCTCCCCTAGTGTCAAAGATCGGGGGAGACAGCTGTATTCGCAAGCTACATGTACACTCATGTGACCAACTTTCAAGATTAATTTTTAACCAGTCTCAACAGACGCAGCAGAAGTGGATGAAAGTGGAGAAAATCCTAGTCCCCATCGTTCAACCTTGAGTAAATTGGATGATGACTTCCGTGACATTGCTCAGCATCATATACTTTCAGTGGCTGGTAAGCAATCATATTACCTTATTATAGGAAATTAACGCTCCATGGAATTAAGGTGTTGTAAATTAACGCGACTTAAATTAACGCGAATTTAATGGAAAACGACTTGCGAATAAAGAAAATTAACACGAAAGGGCAGGGTTGTCATTAAGAGCCGGGGGCCGGGGATTTTCCCTGGCTACTAAGAGAGTGGCCCCCGGCTACTTTTATTGGAAAATAGAAGAAAAACAGAACCAAAAGAAATCCCTAGCCATTTGATTCCCCGCCTACTTGTTGCATTTACCCGGCAACTTAAAATCTTAGTGACAACCCTGAAAGAGGAGGTAGAATTTCATAATAAAGGAAATTAACGCGATTACGACACAGTTGGTGGTTACAACTGGAACAAATTTATGTTAACACTGCATGCAAAAACATTCAAAACTAAACAAAACTGAGCTAACATCACTTCTGACAGCGACAACGATGAAGCTGAACTAGAAATATTGTAAACCTTCACCTTAGCTTTTGCAAAAGATGAAAAATAAAGGGTAAATGGAAAGAAAGAAAGCTTGTAGTTAATGTTTTTCAGGTGTCAAGAATGTCTGGACAGGTTCCAAAATTGGGGTTAAAATACTGGAAATTAAGAGCGCGGAAATTAACGCTGCACTTAATTAACGTCGCAGAAATTAACGCTCAACAAAATTAACACGACTTAAATTAACACGAATTTTAACGATTCGCATTAATTTCATAGAGCGTTAATTTCCTATGATAAGGTATTGCAAAAGGTTTGAACCCAGGGGTCATTTCATAAGAGGGTGGAGCATGATCACCCAAAGTATGAGGACTGTTCCTATTCAGGACTACGCTCACTGAACAATCATGCTCTGCCTTCTTATGAAATCTACACAATAGGGGTGTTTTAGACCTACTGTACAGTGTTTTTACAGGTGACTTGAGGGCAGGTTTTTAACCGTAATATTTTTTAATTATCAGTGGTAGTGTCATATATTTTTGAAACACCAACAAAAAAGCAAGTTCTCAACCACTGTGAATAATATATTTTCTTTGCAGGTGATGATAAGAGTGGAAGACCAGTTATTGTTTTCTCATCATGCAGAATGCCACCAATAAGTTCCATTGACCACACACGGTTATTCAAGTAAATAATCTTACACTATAATACTCAGAACTCTTTAATTAATAAATTTATAAACTGTCTAATTTACAATATAAATTAACAAATTATTTATTACATATCAACGTGCAAAGAAAGTAGTGTCCGATAGTCCGGGGCTGGTGGATTTTGCTATCGGGCTAGTGAATTCTGTTTTTAACTTGCCCAACGTGCAAGTGATCATTTTTTAGGAATTCGAATAACAGAAGAACTGTGAGATCAATTCTACTTCAAAAAGCTTTTGGGGCTAGTTGAAATGACGTCTGGGCTAGTAAATGTTAGCTTCAGCTTGCCTGAATGGCAAGCTCTAAAAATGATTTTCTTGGCACCCTGCATATTTATAGTTATTGCTTCGGATGTAAGAATTCCCATATTCATCAAAGTAGCTTTCACAAGTTTTCAGCTTGTCTGCTTCTATAACCTTTAATAGTTGGGTTGATTTAGCTTGCACTTTTAACTAGTGATTAGATCACCTCCCTGATATTTGATATGGGTGATATTTGTTCAGATTAGAGTACTTTTAATTCATGTGGAATGTTGTAATACTGATTTGACATCGATAAGATATTGATTAACTACAGTCAGTTAAACTGCCTTTATTCAAAGCATAGAAAGAACAGCTATCCAGTTTAGGAGAATAAAGCTTTGGATCAAATTCCACTCATATGTTTCTGTGCTCATTACAGTACGTTTATCCATTCCAAATATCAAGTTTTGTTACCATAGCCTTTAGTTTTTGTGGTATAAAAGGTGTTTTATACGGATGGTCAACTTCTGAAAAACTGCCATGTGTGCCATGATGTGTGGGTATTTTCTTTGGTGTGTGTATGTGTTTTTTTTCTTTGAACTAGATGACAGGTTGTCAACCTCAAACCCCACACTTTGGTACATGTAAAATAAACTTGTCAAAATTCTAGAGCTATGGCCATTTTCACCTAATAGATATATCATTGGTCTAATAACAGTCATGTCATTTTGGGCTACTACAAGCATCGTGTTTCCAGTTCTGTCTGATACTCTTTCCAAGCTTCATTTCATTTAATAGCCTGTAAATACATAGTCTGCTACACAGCTGTTTTTAGAGTCGTCACGCAACGCTCCTCCCCACTAACGGCTGCTGAAAACCGAACTACATTCCTTTCCCTTTGTGTTTGTGGCCTAACGAACAAGCCAATCATGTATAAGAAATTTACCAATGCGTGAGCCCCAGGGCGCTAGGAAGCGAGCACACTTCTCGGTTTTCGACAGATCAATCAATCGTCGCTGAATTTAGACGGGCTCTTGGTTTTCAAGCAACGAAAAGGTTAATTACAAAAAAGTTTGTTTTAAGTGGTCAAGAAAGTTCCAAGTGAAAAAAAGGTTTGATAGGCTTAGAAGACTTTTACCAGGATCGATTGGTTCTTCATTTAACGTGCATATGTACTGATATGTAATAAAGAATTTAATGTGGGAGATGTGCTCATTGTGTTCCTGTGAAAACTAAACTGTCAAGGGTACTAATTTAAAAAGCAATCCTATAAATTATCGATGAGCGATTTCCCGAAACTATACCTGGCAACTTTATGAGCACGTCCATGTTGTGCGTCGCAATTTGCTCAACTTGCTTGCTGCCGCTGCTTATCTCCTAAATTTTGAATAGGACTCGACTACATCAACACTACTGTAGTTAATTGCTTGTTTTCACGCGACAATTTTGATTATTCTGTCATTCACACGTGGGGCACCGATAAAAGCAAAGCTGTGATTGGAGGAGTCACAGTATCGCAAACATGGCACGAACACTTTCCAGAAAACGGGAGCTGAATTACAATTGGTTTATCACGGGAAAGGAATGTAGTTCGGTTTTCAGCAGCCGTCAGTGGGGAGGAACGTTGCGTGACGACACTAAAAAGGGCTGTGTAGCAGACTAGTTAATACAGCTCAATACTCAGTCCTTGCCACTAGGAGCATTTCGTGGGGAAATGTTTTGCCTCCCTGGTTCGCAAGCTACATGTATACTCATGTGACCAACTTTCAAGATTAATTTTTAACCAATCTCAACAGACACAGCAGAAGTGGATAGAAGTGGAGAAAATCCTAGTCCCCATCGTTCAACCTTGAGTAAATTGGATGATGACTTCCGTGACATTGCTCAGCATCATATACTTTCAGTGGCTGGTAAGCAATCATATTATTATTGTGAAAGGTTTGAACCCAGGAGTCATTTCATTAGAGGGTGGAGCATGATCACCCAAAGTATGAGGACTGTTCCTATTCAGGACTACGCTCCCCGAACAATCATGCTCCACCTTCTTATGAAATCTACACAATAGAGGTTTTTTAGACCTACTGTATAGTGTTTTTACAGGAGACATGAGGGCAGGTTTTTAACCATAATATTTTATGATTATCACTGGTAGTGTCATATATTAATTTTGAAGCACGAACAAAAAAGCAAGTTGTCAACCACTGTGAATAATATATTATTTTCTTTGCAGGTGATGATAAAAGTGGAAGACCAGTTATTGTGTTCTCATCATGCAGAATGCCACCAATAAGTTCCATTGACCACACACGGCTATTCAAGTAAATAATCTTACACTATAATACTCAGAACTCTTTAATTAATAAATTAATTTATAAACTGTCTAATTTACAATCATGTAAATTAACAAATTATATATTACATATCAACGTGCAAAGAAAGTAGTGTCCGATAACCCGGGGCTGGTGGATTTTGCTATCGGGCTAGTGAATTCTGTTTTTAACTTGCCCAACAGGCAAGTGATCATTTTTTAGGAATTCGAATAACAGAAGAACTTTGAGATCAATTCTGCTTCAAAAAGCTTTTGGGGCTAGTTGAAATGACGTCTGGGCTAGTAAATGTTAGCTTCAGCTTGCCTGAATGGCAAGCTCTAAAAATGATTTTCTTGGCACCCTGCATATTTATAGTTATTGCTTCGGATGACAAATGGCAAATTTATCACTCTTTTAGTTTATTGATATGCCGGTAGCCGGCATTGCAGAGGTGATCCAACCCCAGCTAGTCAAGTCTGTGAAGTTGCTGAAATCCTTTTTCTGGACCCCCTTAACCCTTTAAGTCCCAATAGTGACCAACATAAAATTTCTCCTAACATCATCCATACATTTTCAAGAGATAAGGTTATGAGAATTAATAAATCGATCAATAAAGAGAAAATGCCTTGATCTTTCATTAAATTCTCTCAACCAATTCTTACGGGAAATGTACGTAGATCACTTTGGATAATTTGTACCTGTGTATTAGGGCTTAAAGGGTTAACAGACTCAATGTATAATTATACAGAACTGTGTGTTTCGGATTTCCCTTCAAACAACAACATTATCAGGGCTCGAAATTAAAAAAATCCCCAGGTCTCCTTTTGGCATCCAACTTGAGAAGTAAAGTCACCAGATGCAAATTTTTAGTCCCCAGTTTGTGTAATGTAATTATGATGCAGCTTGTAATATGGCACGATCCATCAGATTTGACTGTTTGAAATATTGTGAACAGAAGTCAGTATAAATTTGGAGGTAAACTTGCTTTGTGTATACAATTCGGCACATTTTCTCTGATGAAAGCAAAGCAAGGTAGGATGAAATGTTTGTTTTCACTTTACTCTTTTAATTTAAATCTAAATCATAGAGAAATCTGGTCCCCAAAGTGGCGACTAATAAACCAGAAGTTTTAGTCGCCAAGGAGAAAATGTTATTTGCATTGACGACCGTATCAGTCGCAATTGCGAGCCCTGATTATTGACAACTGCAGCTCAATTTCTTTGTGAAAGCAGTTGCATATATTATATAATTCTCAACGATACCCTTGTGAAATCAAAGCCCATTTTCTTCTGCAAGCAGCACCCCAGACATTAAGTGTATACTATGCATCTCAGAGCCAGCTTCAGCATCAGTTTAAAATGTTGCTAATGCTATAAATCAGCCTAATCAGAGTCTCAGTTTTCCAATATTAGTGGTTTTGTTTTATTGTAGGTATTTATTACGCACATTAGATCAGTATGTTGAGAATGATTACACCATTGTGTACTTTCACTTCGGGCTTACCAGCAAGAACAAACCAGGCATGTCAAAAGTCATTCAACTCTACCGTGAACTGGATAGAAAGTAAGAAGTAAAAACCACGTGGCCTTGTTTTATTTGCATGGATGGTGTTCTTTTCCAGAGTGCATAGAAAGTCATGTCCGATAGCCCGGGGCTAGTGGATTTTGCTATCTGGCTAGTGAGTTCTGTTCTTAACTTGCCCAACGGGCAAGTGCTGTTTTTTGGGGAAATTCAAATTACAGATTGAGGGATTGTAATCAATCTTGCTAATCAAAAAGGGTTTTGGGGTTAGTTGAAATTACTTGTGAGTTAGCACATACTAGCTACAGCTTGCCTGAATGACAGGCTGTAAAACTGACTTTCTTTGCACCCTGTTTTCTGTATCTGTCAGGATCATATTGATTTCTGAATTTTTTTTAATCAAATTATGTTCCTCCTTGAACATCTCTGCTTCACTTCAAATCATTTCATGTAGTTTTTCTGGTACATTTGTAACAGATTTAGTCTACCTACAGGTACCGAAAGAATATCAAAGCCCTTTATGTTGTCCACCCTTCAAGTACCATCAAGCTGATATGGGCCACCCTAGCAAAGGTTTTAAGGTACAAGATTTATCAGTAATTTATTGTATTCGCTCTTCTTTCCCCCTTTTTTTCTCTTTTCTGCTCTTTGCACCCTTTTCCTAAATGGTAACAATGCCACTTGTTGCCAGTATTAACACTTTTTTTTTATTCTTGAGAAAAGAAAAGAAAAGAAATAGAAAAGACTCCTTTTTGTCTTGTAATTTTTTAAAATTTTTTGTTCCATAATTTTTACTTCATTTTTCCCCTTTTTTTTTGTAATAATAAAGAAAGGGTGGAAAATTCAATTTATATACTAAACCTTAAGGAAAGCAATGAGGGCTGTTTCATTTAGCTGGGTACGTGGACTCCCTTTCTCTTTCCTTTTCGATCAAACCTGATGCATGTTTCAGTGAATGTGAAGTCTGTGGTGCAGTAGTGTGCAATAGTCCATGAAATTAATGATGAGGCTCTTGTTTTGCAGCCCTAAGTTTTCAAGGAAGTTGTTTTATATAACAAGACTTCAAGATCTGGCAGATATTGTTCATCTTGATCAAATTGACATTCCTAAGCAAGTCATGGAGTAGGTGTCTCTCTTATGCCATTATGTATTACAGGTCAAAATTAAATTCAGGTTAAAAAGTTACCGTGAAATCCTAGGGCTTGTATTTTTTAAAAATCCAGTTTGATTCTCATTTTCCTTTGTTTCCTAGCCCTAATTCGTGAATAATTAGGGCTAGGAAACAAAGGAAATTGTGAATCAAAGTGGATTTTTAAAAAATACAAGCCCTAGGATTTCACGGTAACAATTGTTCTCCCAGTGACATTTTCAGCCTTAGGAGGCAATTTACAGAAATTCACTATTTTTCCATTCAGGTTCGTAACGTAGTTCGACAACAATTCTTTGTTATGACTCAGTTTATGTGCAAAACTAAAATGTTTATCAGCATCTATCATCTTTCTTTTGTTCACCATCTTGAATTGTTTCCAAAGTGCTTTGAAAGTTACTGCTTTATGGCTTCCAGGACCAAGGAAAAAATATGACTTCCAAAATTGAAAACATTTAAGAGATGGGTTGCTGTGAATTTTTCATGGGCACAAAAAATTGTTACGGATGGTTTCATGGAAATGAAAAATTGTCTTCCATGGGAATTGAAATCCTAGGGCTTGAAGTACTGATTTACCCTGAGACTGACTTTACTTACAACATATTATATGAATTGATATTTTGAGAACATTTGTTGGTAGTTGTGGTTTATTATTATTTTACAACAGTGTGAAAAATAGATATTTTAAGTAATATTGACTCTCACCATGATGTGTGTATTACTTTAGGCATGATGTTGAGATTTCCAGCCAGGTCAGAGCTGCTACACCCAAAGCACCATCAGTGTTTTATGCAACACCCACAGAAATTCCAAAAACACAGCAGTTTGGTGTGTCATTATCATGGTATGTAATGACCAGGGCTGTCATTTAGTGCCGCAGGGCCAGGGATTTCCCCAGCTACCATGAACATAGCCTCTGGCTACTACGAAAAATGAACCAGAAGAAATCCCTAGCTGTTTGAGTACCCGCCTACTTGACCTTTAGCCTGGATATTGATGCTTGAAGGGTTAACTGATTTGTCTTTCAGGAGTAGTGTACAGGAACTCCAAAGAAATGATAACGAATGATGAAGAACATGTTAATGAGAAACTCCTCCCTTGTACATGTAATTTCAATTTATAATATTTTTTTCGAAGGATTTTTGCACAAAAACATCAAGGATTACATTTTTTTCTGACTTTTGAGAGAAGCCAACAACCTATTTGGTGATAAATTTGTGTTTTATCCTCTTTTTTTTAAAGAAACATGCTCATAATATTATAATAATTATCACTCTTATGTATCTTTTTTCCATTTAGTAGTCTGTTCAGACATCAAGATTGTTGATTGTTATCTTTTTCAGGATGAGACAGAAAAACGATGGGGAGTGCATTCCACTTGTATTGTCAGCATCAGTGACATTTTTACGAGAATCTGGTAGGAATCATAGCCAAAGCTTACCAGATTATTTAGTCCATTGTTTTAGTATTTTTTTGGCTTTTAACATGCATTTTTGAGGCAAGATGTTGATTGTTGAAAACACAAACTGTTTACTTAATCATAAACTTACTTAGTCACAATTATTTCATAGTATCTTTTGATTGACAAAAATTTTGATCAACTGTGTCACTTTTTAAGGTCAAAAATCTGGCAAGATAAATTATCAAGAGAGTTCTAAATAGCGGAATATCAGTTGATACTTCTAGGCTGTCTAGGGAACCATATCGGTCAAATCCAGCCAACATCAATGTCAGAATCTTCGCTCTTTGTTATAACTGTGTTGCCATTGTCAGTCTATACTTACTTTAAACTTGAGGTTGAAAAGATGAAATATGCAAAGTCTTGTTAATCAAGCAAGAAACTGAATGAATTGAATGATTTTGTACCTTTTAGCTAATTCCTAGTATTTTGGAATAATTCTCATTTTTGAAGTAATTCTCTTGTCTATTAGACAGGTCCTTTTATTAGTTAGGGGCATCTAATAAAATTTTAACAGCTTAGAGGGGGTGTCTATGAGAAAAAAGGTGTTTACTTGGAAGTGGGCGTTTCTTAGGTCATTTATGGTAAATAATTTTACCACCCCAACAGAATACGTATTTACCCAGGGTAACTCTTAGAGGCACTCATCACATATTTAAGGCCACAGGTAATGGTACTTTACCCATACCCGTACACTGGGAATGGTTAATCTTAACATTCCTATTACATCCCTTTTGTAATTCCTCTTCTTCTGGGATGCACCCCTTGCCCCAAAGAAAGGTGTTAACCAGACCTACATTTAAAGGTTTTTTCTTAATATTAGCTCTAGAAGTTGAAGGGATTTTCAGAAGATCTGCCAACATGAAAACTGTTAAAGAATTCTGTGTAATGTTTAATGAAGGTTAGTGGTTTAGTATGAATTAGCATTTTAATTAACCACCGTTCACTGATAACAAATCTATGATACATGTAAGTAATGTTTTAATCATTTTCAACTTCTTCTGGACTTAGGTGAATGAAAGGAGGAAAATAATTATATCCCTTTAACGTAACACAACATAACAACTTTGTTGTCGATGTGTTTAGCTAATGCAAGCTAATTTGGGTCAAAAAGGGAATAGATAAATAGTAAAGAAATGTACAGTTTACTAAAAGAAATGTCAATGGTAATTATAAATGTGTTTATAGATTATTCTACAATGCCCTTAAATTTAAAATTTATAAACATCTAAAATAACGTGGAGCCTAACCCCTACTTAAATATACAGGAAAATGCTAAATATATTTCTAAAATTCTTAAGAGCTACAAAGTATACGGGAGCTACAATTGTCGTTTAAAAGACCTACAAGGTTAATACTTCGTATGCTGGGTTCAAAGATTTGTCTTTGACTTTACTGTCCAATCAAGACCATATATATGGTCCAAAGTACTTCATAGAATGTTTCCTGTAATGTACAGTATTAAATCTAGGTGTTTGAAAATTCCTTATTTCTTAAGTGATAGTTGGAACACACAATCTGTTAACTGTAACAACCAAATTGTCATGAAATCTGTGTCAAGTGAGTTCATTTGGTCTATAATGCAGTTGGCTTTACTGCAACTTGTTTCGAAACTATAGACCAATTAAAAGATTCCAATTCTTCTTGCTAGTCTATTATAGCTTTTTAATCTAGATAAAATATGAGTGGGAGATATGTATGGGCATTTATAAGTGGTTATATAATTACAGGCAAAGATGTTAACTACAGTAACCCGGATGACATCCACTGTGCAGCAGTTATTATCAAGAGATTCTTGAGAGAACTTCCTGAACCAATCCTCACATTCAAACTTTATGAGACAATTATTACTAGCACAAGTAAGTGTCAGATTTCAATCCACAGTTTTCAAGTATTCCCAGATCTCTTAACTGGCAACACACAAGGGGAACCCAATCATAGACCTGTCAATATGTTCATAACAGACTGCATTGAACAAAAGAGAAAAATTAAATGTGAAAAAGTGTCAGTGGCACACGGGACTTAAAATTAATCTGACTCTTTAAGAATCATTGACTCCTTATCTTAACGCATTGTTATGTCAATAAATGAAGGATGTCTACTCAGGAAGCTCTGTGTAGTTAATTAGATCAGTGAACTTCTGTGTTTTATTTCTTTGAAGTTGTAATCTGCAAGGCTTTGTAATAGATTAAGGTTTTTGTTTTTAGTAGATATGTTATTTATGTACTTGTCCCCCTCCACGACTAGCTTTCCAGCTGTTTGCGTGGCAAGCTATCCAACCCCTGTATACAAAGAATAAAGTTATCGTTGTTGTTTGAAATCAACAGAAATCGATGTATGACCTTCTCTTGACTAGTCCAGATATGATCTACCACTGATATACTTGTATAATTTATGGGAATCGTAAGAGTTAATGTCATTTAAGTAGCTTTGTGTTACGAACATCCTACGTGCTGCTGGTATTGGAATGTCGGTAGGTGGCATAATTGCAAAGATGGTGAATGAACAGGGATGGGGTTTTTTCTTTCAAAGATGCATGCCACGCTGGAAGAAAAGCTAGCGGTATACACGATGTTTGTCTCACAAACCTATTTTAATTATAGTCCCCTCTACTAACTATGGTTTAATGGCCAAAGCTCGTACAAGTCCCATCTATGATAATTTTGAGAGGGGTACATGTAGTTGTCCATATTCTATGCCAACATGTTGTGCTATTTAGGTTCTCAAGATCGGTGCAATTATTGGGTGTGGTCGTTTGATGTTGATAATGATAACGATGTTCACGATGTTGTTGTTGATGATGATGATGATAATAATAATAGGGAATTTACGTTCCAACGAGGCGACGACAAGAAGAACGTCTAGAAAACAATAGGTTTAATAAGCAAAACAACTACTTCGCACGTGCATCACGCTTTTTTGTACTTTTCTTTGCCGTTTTTGCAAAACTATGACTTGAAGGTACCTAATTTCGCGTTTTATGGAGAACGTTAAACAAGCAATGACGAAATTTTCTCACTTTGAACTTGGATATGGTCCCTTGAAATTCAATTTCAGGAGGGTTCACCTACATTTGACGAAGTTAGTGGGTAGGAATAATCGCGAGAAAGACTGAAAGAAAATTCTATTTTTTTAGCGATATTCTCGTCGCCGTCCCGTCGTTGGATCTTAAGGTCCCTAATGATTATCCTTGCCCTGTTTTATCATATTTTCAACCATTTTTATTCGCTTTGTTGTATTTCTTCTGTAAGAAATTCCAGATGCAACAGAGAAACTGAAAGTGGTATGGTGCATTCTACACAATGAGCTGCCAGAAGAGAACTTTGTTGTGCTCAAATTTCTGATGGAGTTTCTTAATGAGGTATGGTCAGGGTTCTATTTAGGATTTATAGTTTGGGGGAGAAGTCCCGGATCATTTTATCTTTCTGGGAAACTGCCCACCTACCTTTCCCCTAAACAAACATTTTGCCTTAAGTAGAAGTAAGTATAAATGTTGGCTTAGGGGAGAGGAAGGTGGGCAGTCTCTCAGAACGGTAAAAGATTCTACGTCCCTAGTGCCGAAGGCCACGAGCTTCCTAGCGGGGTCCGGGGGCATGCCCGCCCGGAAATTTTTTTAAATGAATATGCGCTGAGATGCAATCTGGTGAATTTTGAGCACAATTTTGAGAAATGTTACAGTGTGTGCACTGACCTCGTCGCGTCTGGATGATTTTTATAGTTACTTATATACCTGATTGAAAAAACGTTGTCGCTCAAAAGTATAAACCATGAATTCCATACTCCGCAGGGGAGTTAACTTCACCCAAAGACGTGGGAATGTACTTGATTACACAACGTGAAATAAAATTAAATGATAACTCCACATTTGTTAATTGGTGTTAGCGACATGCTGCTTGAGTGATACGGATTTAGAAAGGTAAGGGTTCTTCGTCTACTATTCCTTGTCAAATTGGAATTTGGAATTGTCAAGAGGCAGTCGCGAGTACCAATACATGTGTACGAACTCTTCATTGCTCTACTAGGCCGTTTACGGTGACCTTTTTCCCAACAGATCATCGAGCGTTTATCATAAAGGGCGGCCATCATAGTTTTAGTAATAAAATGAATAAATAAATAAGTGAATTAATATATATCGATTTAGTGGCAGCACTGTAGAAACACAGTTTAGCAACGTCTTCATTGTTTCAGGTCTTGGATTATTCCGCTGTAAACAGAATGACGGCCATGAATCTGGCAATTGTGTTTGGACCGAACATTCTTTGGTCCAGATCTCAAGCGGCTTCATTAGACGCCATGGCACAGATCAACTCTTTCACCCTTCTGTTGCTGGAAAACGTCAGTTATCTGTTTGGAACCTCGTGACCTAAAAGTGCTGTATTGCGTTCTTGGAGTAAACTTTATGACTCTGCGGGTTTCTTCACGAGAGTAGTAGAGAAGAAAAGCAGTCTCGCACGCCCTATCATTTATACCGATAGGTCTTTTTTGTCCATTAAGATAACTATCATTTCAAACAGTTTACTCACTCACTTGTCGTCGGATATAAGTAGATGTACATGTTTAAATTATGAAACGTTATAACGGAATGTACGTAAGAATTATGCTTCATGGAGTGCAAATGCTGGACATTTCGTGTTTAAGGCGGAGGAATATCAGAAATATTATCAGCTCGACATTAAATGTGGATCACCATAACAACACAAATGTTGTACGATCTGCGTTCTTGTCTATCTTGATGCTGATGTTAGTCAGATGTAAATACAGTACTGTTCTACGTATATTTCTCTCTGTTGACATCAAGGGTCGCCCAACAATCGCCTCTTATTCAGCTGGGAAAATAAAGTTTAAAGTCGTGAAATTCTTATTTTGTGATTTGTTCAGCTGTTGTCACTAATTGGGAACGCATTCGGTGTTAAAGTAATACACAGTGTCATGAAATGGCGAAAACAGTGGGGCCTCCCACCCCGACACTTTACACCCCAACACCCTCCCCCTTGGTACATTTCTAATCAAGATGGCCTTCTGTTCCAGCATCCGGCGTTCAAGGCGAAACAAACGAGAAGAGCACCCAAGTTTAACACGACCACGCAAGAAAAGATGTATGAAAGCTGCTAAAATTCGGCCTGATCTTAGTCAGAAACGCGACAATCCTGTGGGAAAATCTTTTACGCACCCTACTTTTTTCTCACAGCTAAAATTTGTTTACTTATTTAAGGTTCACTTTATTTTTCCAAGGGATTTTTTTAATTTCCTTCTTTTTGCAATTTCGTCTATTAGTTTATGTTTATCTTTTTAATTTCCACGGTTTCTGAGAAAATTAATAGGCCACTTGCACCAAGAGGTCAGGTGACCAATGCTTCCTTTAAACAATGAGTTGGAATCTTGCTGATGCAAAAAATTGACAGAGCACATAAAAATTATCTTACACCCGAAATTTAAGAGGAAACGCATTTAAGGGAGATATTTTATGGCACTTTGATTTTTCAACAAAGTAATATGATTTGTATTGGCCGCCATGTTGGAGGGCATACTCTTGCCCTCCAACATGGCGGCCAAACCTACTTTTTGCTTATATCTTGTTAAACATTTGATAGTTACCCTCAGATGTGCTGTAAACGTTACCACATCATCTTTTCAACATTTTTCTTGAAGTTTAAGTGAAAAATTTGTGTTCAGAAAGAGGTAATTCATTATTTTAAAAATCACATTTTGGTCACGTGAGCAGATACGAACTTACTTATTTAAAGAAAATGGTGCGGGTTTGAAAATCAAATCACCATTATTTTGGTTAAAATATGAACCAATAATCGTTTTCCGAAGGCAAAATCATATAACTTTCAGTTTGATAAAAACGATGTCACATGACCTCTTAGTAATTGCGTCACAGTTTGGCTTTTTTTAAATTAAAAGTTATTTTACTTCGTTCCTTTTCCCCTTTCTCTTCATTTGCTTATTAGTTTAAGTGCTTGTCTACTTCAAGACAAGAAGCGCTAAATTCCTTGGCTTAATTAAACTAACTTTTTCTCAACTTTACAACTTTTCCTGGTTTAATAGAATCGTTATATTTTAAATAGTCTGTTTCAATTTCTTATCCACTCAGAGATGACTTAGGGGGAAACTAAAAGAGCGACTGGAGAGGGGCCTGATCTTAGGTTACCAGTTACAGTAATGGCTTGACCGTGCAAAACTGTGAGAAAAAAATAGGAAAACGTTTATCAAAATGAGAGCCGGTCCTATTGAGAAAATTTCATTTTTATTTAAAAAGTTTAGCAGAAAGCTTCGCGTAGAAGTTAGGGGTTATGGGAACTCGGAAATCGCCTATTACTTGACGGCAATGGCGGAAGCTCAGAAACGTGCCTAAAAGATTTAAACGTTTAATTTCGTGAAATCTGCCTTGATTAGCTCAAGCCAATGAAATAGTGCTTAACTCCTGTCTGTGAACATCCTGGGAGACCCAGGGGGGGTCAGGAAACTCGGGGTTAAAGGAAATCTCTTCAATCGCAATGGATCGGGAAAATAACCACACAGCAAGCAAAAACAAGTAAAGTAAATAAGGTAAGGTGTATGTCATTGATTTTAATTTTACCTGAATTCCCATACAAGACCATAAAAATCCTTTATGTTCACAGCCATTTTAAGGATTACGCAGTTTGAAACCACATGTATTTATGATTAAACTCTCATACTGCGCTTGGGTCGGCTGTGGTTCATTATGATGCTCGATCAACATCAAATTATTTATTGACCCTTATCGAGTTAAACTGAGATAATAAGCGGCTTTTAAAAATTTTCAAACATTACTCATTTCATTAATTTCGTTTTGTTTACAGAAAAAGTGGCTACAGTAAAAAATCATAAGATAAGCTTAAAAGGACCTAAGCACCGTCTCTGGCTGCGGAAACGAACTCCATATGAAGCTATGCCCGCAATGATACAGGTAAGAAACTGCGAGTCGTAATTCAACCCGAATTCAATACGGAAAGCAACTCTGATGAGTCAATGCTACAAGAAACTAGCCCTGCTCTAACTATTTTCCGTATTCCTTCCGCCGATTTTCACTTGTATTAAACTCCTTATAAATACCGTCTTGCGTGCCAAAAGCGAGTCGCAAAAACGAGATGATAAAAGATTAATGTATCAACAATCTCGCACAAATTCATCTCTGAATGTTTTATTCGTAGAGGTATTTCAGCCCAAGTAACGAACGATTTATTTCATGATTTATTTTATTTCTGTAACGAAGTTGCAGAGCGAAAATTTACCAATCACAGTTCGAGAGATAACTTAACCACGGTATAAACAAGTATCGATTATCTACATGTAACTGTGTATACCAACCCACCTTCTTCTGGTCTATAAAACCTTGCGTAGTCTCGTGTTCTTTTCTTCGGGTCATGATCGTGTTTAAACATTTCATAACCAGTTGTTATTTCTTTGCTGCTGTGGCGATAAATCTAAAATCAATATCAACATCGTCAAACAGTATTAACCTTAATAGCCGCGATGAAAGAATTTAAGAGTTTGAAACGAAAAAAACTCTGATAAGAGATTATCAGCCTAGGGTACTTATACAGAGGGAAATGGAAGTAAATGGGATGTGGATCACAGTGAACATTGAAAAACCTTAGAGTCCTCCCCCGCCTCTCCCTCCGTTCCCAGTTCCGTTCCCCGCTCCGTTTCAATCCACGATCTATTCTCTGCTCCGTTCTCCGCTCCTTTCCTCGCTCCGTTCCCTATTTTATTCTGTTCATTGTAGACAAAAGAAGACTAAGTTCTATCTTCCGATCACTCTTGACAATTGTTGAACAAGTATTACACCAATGATCTTATACAGATGCCCAAGGTTAAGCCAGGTTGTCCGCTAACAGTTCGCTCCCAGCAGTACACTAAGCTTAACTACACTAAACAGCTCGTATTTTCGCGAAGGACAAGAACGCGCGAGCAGTCAAACGCAAGGTCTGGAGCGAGTATGAAAACGGAGAATGAGACAGGAGAAGGACTCTTCCTCTCACCCAGTCGATTTTGAGAAAACTGACAAACTGACAAAAGAACTGAATTTGCACAACCTACTTGTGATTTTTGCTTTCAGCGACTTGAAAAGCTAGTTTTAGCACTTCAAACGAAGGCCGGTCACTTAGGATTCCACAGATGCAGCACCATCATCCCGGCATTGTGAGGGCATAATCTTGTCAAGTTTAGCCCTTAACAATCTCATGGTCTCCAAATTGTTGCAGTAGGAGAAGCAGCAGAGAGATTGGTATTATCAATTGAGTTGATTCAGTACGTGAATAATATTGGCCACAACAGAGAGATCTGAGAATAGCCATGTAGGGGTTACTAACATTACTGGAGTTAAAGTTCTGTTAACGGACATTCCCGTGAGCAGCACTGAGGCCGCTCTACCTTCCTATCAAACTGCTAGTAGCAACCCCCCGAGAGTGTACTCCCTTAATCAAATAAGCCATATCTGTATGTGCCGCCCCTATCTCACCATTGGCAACCTCCACTGAAGTCACCAATACCAGAGTAATCAAAAACCAGAAATACGAATTATATTTTGAAATCGTATACGTGAAGCAATCCTACACTGTAAGAGCGTAGAAAAAGCTAGGCTCGATTAGGGACGGACCATTAGAAAACTTATGGGGGGGGGGGGGGGGGG